TTAATGGCTTGCGTAATTGATCTTGATTTAGATCAGAGTGAATTTATTATAAATCGATCATCAATTATAAGAAAAAAAAGAAGAATTTCGTAAGCAAAGTGCAATTAAAACAGAGAATGAATTTAAACACAGAGTTTGTTGTTGTTCACTGGAATTCCAAGATTTAAGTGGAAAAGAATCTGTAGACCTACTTCCTGTAATTGTAACGTCTCAGGATAAAGAACAATTGCTTGGAGTGCCTAAATGGTTTAAATGGTTCCTGTGTTCTTCTAGAACAAAAACTAAATAGAGATATTCTCTCCTTAGCTTGTAGACATCACATATACGAAGTGATGCTTGCAAGTGTTACATGTTACACTCAAGCATGGTTTTGTACAACAAATGCTCTTGAAGCTCCATTTACTGATTTCAAATTTTTGCAAAGCTTGGAAATGTATAAGAAACATAACAAGAGAATTGCCGAGAAAGTACAAAAGAAATTTCTAAATCATTCGTGGTGTCTAAACGAAGAATGTGCTGCAATTTACCTGTTTGATGATAGACTTGATAATTAGAAAAGAAAAAGCAATGATAATAAAATCATATAAAACGAAAACAATGAAGACTAATATTGAAATTTAATTCAAATGATGTAAATAGACAAATATTTTAATTAATGTAAGTAATTAACTATTAATTATTAATTATATTTATTTAATTAAAAACGCGTTTAAATCAGTGCATCAAAATAGCTCTTCTTTATCAATTCATAACCGTAATTAAAAATAATATGCAAGAGGAAAATCCTCTAAAATAAGGATACTTTTGATATCATAAATAAGAGGAAAATATCCATTCAGTTTAGAAAAATTCGCATCAAATCAAGATTACTTTTTTTATGGTGTATGATACACAACAAAGAAAACCTTTAGGCAAAATCGAATGTGCGCGGATGTATTTGCTGTATGCAGTGTTACTGAAGCTAACAGTGTGCAGTTTCATTAAATAATAAATATCTTTGGCTAACGAGGTTTAAGCTTTGCCCATATTTGCTTAACTATTTCCGGTGTGTAGATTAGCCGCTTCCACGTAGAGTAGTTAACGTTTAATATGATGTCCATTTTTTAACTAGGAACTATCTAGTGCACCTAGATACCTGGGATGTTAAATTACATGATGATAAATTTTATATAAATGCAAAAAAAATTGTACTATACAATTTCTAACGCAGAATTTATTCCCCTTTCAGAATTCGCGTTAAAAAGTTAACTTTTATTTTATGTCATTTACTTTTGATAAAAAAAGAATTTTTTGTTTAGATATAACCTTTGAATGAAATAACGATATCATGACCAGCACCACAAGTAAAATTGGGTTTTCCAGGAATGTTATGGCTAGTATTCAGTTTCCATATGGAGAGTGATAAATTCACTTTTATACAGATTTTCTTTTATTGATGAAACATTTTTTTAAATATTAATGATATGGTCTCATGCGGTAAAATTGGTAAAAAAGTAATTTAAAAGAATTGGGGGCTATTTCTCTAAAAGTTGAGACGTTGCGTGCCAGGTACTAGTTGAAACCTAGATGTGTTTAGGTGGTAGACAATGCTTAGACGTACATCAGATCAATGATAAGTTGCCTAATATCATCCGTGGAACATAACCTGAGAATATTGATTTTTTCCATATAGAACTTGATACGGCCTACACGCCTGTGTCGAGTACCCAAGTGGAATTAAGTCTTACGATTTTCGTTCGGAGTTCGTGTATATAGATTTCACACGAATTATAATCATCTATCAGATTTCGTGTGTGCTGTTCTAAAACGGGTTTTTATTCCCAAAAATTCATTATGAACTTCTAACACTAATACAGTATTTAATCTTTAATTAAATATTTTCTAATCCTTTAAAAATCCCCTCATTGGATGTCTGATGAGGGGATGTGAGATGCCATATAAAATCCAATGTGAAATATGTGATTTCATATCAGTGCCAATATTCGTGCAATAATGATAACCAATATTATTGGACCACTATTGGTAATGTTCTGGTATGAACACAACATTACTAAGCAATTACAGATAATATTGTATTATTATTATTGGTTGCCAAGACAATTTCCGTGTAAAAATTTATCTAGAAAGTATACTTGGTATGCGTTAATTTAGATTTTTTCTCCGATGAATGAAATCACTCCCCTTGCAGTCAGTTCTGCTTGCATTTGTTATGTCCTTAGTCTTACTTCCTGAAATGTGAAGAAGTTCTTGCGCACTATGGTGATCACTTTTGAAATTTCCCGCGCTTCATAGAAGTATACACTTGAAAATACTTAAGATGAGTGGTGCCCAGAATGCGCAAGAACTTCTTCCACTCAATATCAAGTTATTTTACTAGTTAAGAAGAAACTCCTGAAATTCCTGCAACGTTAAGCTTCAAAACAGATTTGTAATTCCAAAACACACACACCTAAATACAATAATACTTTCAACGAAGCAAATTGTTATAATCTAAATCAAATTCTATAAAAGATGTCAAAACTTCACTCAACATAAAATAATAATGATAAAATAGAAAAACATTAGATTTTCAGATGTGTATCTGTTGAAAAGGAATATTCTCACAATCATAGTGCAATGTGGTTTAAGTTTTCAGAAAAAATATCTCTAAACAATAGATGTTACACAACGCTTCTTTTCCAATGTTTTAAAGGGTAAAAATAGACTTTTACGGTTATAAAAACTTTTTTTTAATTTTTTTACAAAATACTTAATATTTCTATATATTTGATTAGTTTTAAGTACCTATTTTCACAATTTTTTTTAAGAAAAAAGATGACACATTATGTAGGACCATAATTCATTATTCCAATAGATTGTGCAGCTAGAAATCTTTTAACACACATCAATGCATTGTTCTCGGTGTGGCGACTTTATGTCGTCTAACAATATCTCACCATCCCCTTTATATTGCAAACCCTCACAATCTCACCTATTCTTGTTACTAGTTTGTCACACACGTGAACATATCCTCTGGCTTTGTCTATACCTCTCTCTCTCTCTCTTACTCTCTGCTTTTTTTTTATTATTTATCTCACACTTTTACTCTTTCTCTCTCTTACTTCCGCCCTACCTTCTTAGTTTTTTCGTGTCTCAACTGATCATGCCCCTCTCCTCTCTCTCTCTCTCTCTCTCTCTCTCTCTCTCTCTCTCTCTCATCCTTGTGATGGAACCCAGCAGAATATAAATGTAGGAGTTAACCTCGCAGGGGTATCAACTGCGTCATAACCCATATAAAGGGCGTCACACTAAAAATCCAGTGACGTCACGTACATACGCAAAGAGGTGAGGCGCACGCGTCAATAGAAAGGCTTTCAGACTTTCGTACTCTCTATGATGCTGTATGTATATTATGACACTGAACCGATGTAAGCATATGATCGCACTGCTAACCAAGTTTTAGCTTTAATGTTATATATAATACAAGAGGAAAGGTCATCATTATTTTTTATTATGATTAATCTCAAATGAATGGAATAATAATAAAATCATAATATATATAATGACTCAAGGCAGAATGCAAATATGGCAACATTTTTTATTTCTTAATCATAATTTTTGAAACAATTTGTTTTTTTAGAAATGAGAGAAATTACATAACTTGTATTTCAGAAGCAAAATTTGAAAGTTTTAGATTTTTAAGAGACCAGTCTTGTAAATAGACAATATTCTAATCGTGCTATCTCTTTGAGTATTAGCGACTATAATGGCCCCACCAACTTATGCATTAGTTTTAAAGGACTGTGCAATCCCACTCTTTAGGCCTTTTTCTAATTTAAAATTTCATTTTTGCAATTCTGCTATACAAGGAGTAGACAAGAATATGAAATTCAGTTTCTTTGTTTATTGACGATGGCAATATTCCTAAAATCATGGAGTATACTAACGATTTAAAACAAAGTTAGCCACACCCTGTTAAGGTTGCCGTTCAATGTATACGTGAAGTGGACTTAAATCTTTTGTTTTAAAGATTTGAACTTCTATTTTATATACGTTACTTCAATGTCTGGGTCATATAATATAATCTCGAAATCTGCTTGTAAATTTGAATATCAGGATTGCTGCTTAGTTAACACTCTGGATAACACTTCGTAGATATCTGAATCACTGCCTGGTCAACACCTTGGATAACAATTCGTAAATCTAGAAAACTCTTTAGATACCTTTTTTGTAGATCTGAACAACTATCTAAATATCTTTTTTGCGGATCTGGATTACTCTGAATCTTTGGATAACTTTCTGGATACCTCTTTGTTGATCTGAATTTAGATCTTTGCTTTTGACAAATCTCTGATTCAGAGATTTGAAGAACATTTGATTCAGAATTTTGTTTGTCTGGATAGTAGTTCTGGGTTCTGAATACTTAAAATATGGATGAACTTCCAAAATAATTTGAAATATCCCAACACGACCTAATAATATTATTTTTGGTGTTGAAATAATACCTCACAATTTTCTTTGTTGTCAAATTAGCTTAGATGGGAAGCTCATGGTACAAAATCGATTTCCATATAACTGACTTTGCCAGCAACTTGTTACTTTTTAGACGCAATTTTAAAACCTCCTTATTTTGAACATCTTAAATAATTTTAGATTCGTAGTTTGTAACCTAAAAAATTCACAAGTATCAAATTCCAAGCAAATCCAGTTATAGAAATCGATTTTTATACCAGATGCTCTATATACCGCAGCTATTTTGGCTATTAGAAATAACGATTTCTTGATAAAAAAAAATATTCCCGTAATTGTCAATCACCTATCAATTCTGGGCTTTAAAGTTGATAGTTGAAGCTTTAATTTTAGTTCTTTGTCGAAATTTATATCATGTTGCGTTATTATTTGAAAAATTACCAATTTTCCCGATCTATCTCTGTCTTACCCTGACTAGAGTTCGATCAAAATTTTTCTATGGAATATTATGTAAAAATTATAATTACAATTTGAAATAATTTTTTTTACAGAACTGGAGGTGGAAGTATGTTAGGTGACGTAAATATTTCAGCAATTTTGGACTCCTTCTCGGTGAACTATGATAAAAGAGTAAGGCCGAACTACGGAGGTGAGTAGGATTAATTTTTTTTAAATTCTAATTTTTTTTTACTTTTTCTATATTGACTTCTAAAAGATAAAGCTAAATTTTTTTAAAAGAAAAATTTTGACAAGCAAATGGAAAAAAAATATTAAATTATTCAGATACAAAACAAAATTTTTTTTTTTAGTGGTTTGAAACAATATTAATTTCATTAAATATTTTAATTTCTGTCAAGTTGAATATATAAAAAAAAAATAAAATAAAAATCAGTAGCAGATATTTTTAATATCTGGAATGTTGTTCAAATAATGTATTTCGACACGCGTGTTTTCTCCTGCAGCGTAAAATGATATCCACATTATAAAAACCTCAATTACCGAAACTGATAATAATAACACTGTCACACAGTGTTATATTATTATTATTATTTTGTAATGTAAACAATACTACAAAACATTCTAGACATGTTTCCTGTCGTTTATTTATAGTTCTTTCTGTATTGTTAATTTTAGAAATAGGTAATATAATATTAAAAATTCTTTTGAATTTTCTCACCCTTTCACTCTATAAATAGTCTTTCGTATCTTTCAGTAAATTTACCATATAAAGCTACCACAGATTCAGAAAAACTTTAAATTTTTGTTTTAGATTAAACCGAAACTAAAAAAACTAAAATTTCGAAATATGAAAACTGAAAAAAATAAACTTAGAGATAATCTGCGATGCCTGGCCTTCTACATTAATATTGTCTTATTCATTTTCATCGTTTCGTGCATTAATAAGCTGTTTTCGATCTTTTCGAGTTGCTGGGATAAAATAAAAATATCCGATAGCGCTAAAAAGCACTTAAATAAATTATGAACCGATAGAGGATTCAAGAACCCTAGACCTAACGCATACTAAACACTAACTCTAACCACTACACACTATACATTCAACTATAATATTGAGTACATAATGTGAACATTATATGTACATTATCCTATACTCTACACATATTTTATCAAAATAAATTTACATAATACTAATAGATGAAAACAATACTAAATAATAAACAATTATAACACTGTTTATAGGGGAGTGTGTCTAGGTATGAGACGGGTTTTGTTTTTGACCCATAAATTGTAAATGGGTAATTGAAATTGTAAATAAAATATACCGTTCGAAAGGTAACTTAAATACGCAACTTTTATTTAAAGAAAGTATAGTGTTCAGATGGACTCAAAAAAAGTTATGATCAATTTTCCGAGCACATCGCTTTTGTCAACAAAAAACAAATGTGTCCAGTTGTGAGACAGTTATAAAAAATTACTAAAATTTAAAAAGTTTGACATAAAACGTTATGTTTAGTATAAATAATTAAATGTATTAATAATATATATTATTATATACCAAATAATAATATTTATTCGCTAAAATATGACTATCAAATAAACACAATTTAATAGCTTCAACAAAAGTTGACACTTCAGAGGTAGTTTTTAGTTGAAATTAACAAATATAGACTTTCAAAGTTTGGGGGTTTAAAAGAGCATAAAAATCTGAATCACAAAAATGGACGACTTTGAAAAAAAATTTGTGCGAAAAGCTTTCATTTTTGACAAAAAGTGCAAAAATTTCGAAACTTTTGACACTTTAAGGTTAATTTTTAGTTGAAATTAACAAACATAGACTTTCAAATTTTGGGGGTTCAAAAGAGCATAAAAATCTGAATTACAAAAATGGACGACCTTGAAACAAATTTGAGCGAAAGACTTTCGTTTTTGACAAAAACTACAAAAATTTCGAAACTTTTTTCACTTCAGAAAAATAATTTTTAGTTAAAATTAAAAAATGTAGACTTAAACATTTTGGGGGTTCGAAAGAGTATAAAAATTTGAATTACTGACTTTTAAAAAAAATTTGAGAGAAAGGCTTTCATTTTTGACAGAAAGTGCAAAAATTTCGAAATTCTTTTTACATCAACAATAATTTTTAGTCAAAATTAAAAAATGTAGAATTTAAAAGTTTGGTGGTTCGAAAGAACATAAAAATCTGAATTACATGGACGAATTTGAAAAAAAAAATTGTGCGGAAAGCTTTCATTTTTGACAAAACTAAAAAGATATTAAACATTTTAGAAACGTTAGGGTCAAATTTTAGATGAAATTAAAAAATGTATACCTAATTTTTTCATTGTCGGTCCAAAAAGCATGAAAATCTGAATAACCAAAGTGAATTACTAAAAAAAGCACACGAAATGATTGAAAGTTTTTTTAAAAAATGAAAACATTCCGCACAATTTTTTTTAGTCATCCATATTTGTAGTTCAGATTTTATGCTCTTTTTCGAACAGCCAAACTAAAGGTCTAAATTTCTTAATTTCAACAAAAAATTTAATCTAAAGTGAAAAAAGTTTCGAAAGTTTTGTAGTTTTTGTCAAAAAAAAAGAACAAAAGCCTTCCGCTCAATTTTTTTTAAAAGTCGTCTATTTTTGTGATTCAGATATTTATGCTCTTTTGAACCCTCAAACTTTGAATAACCTACATTTGTTAATTTCAACTAAAAATTACCTCTAAAATGTCAAAGGTTTCGAAACTTTTGTAGTTTTTATTAAAAACGAAAGCCTTCCGCTATTTTTTTTCAAAGTTGTCGTTTTTGGTAATTTAGATTTTTATACTCTTTCAAACCGTCCAACTTGGAAAATCTGTTTTTATCAACAGCGTATAAATTATAAAAAAAGATTTCGTTAATATTAATGTTACATGTATATTTTTCGAACTATTAAACCAGAAAAGAAGAGTAAAATAAAATAATGTAAGAAAATTTATTTTTATTTACAATTCTCCACTAAATGAATGTATTATTTTAGAGCGATTTCTCCTAGATAATGATGAAGTTACCAACGTATACGTCAATGAATTAATAATAAAAAATTAAAATTTGTCTTTAATCTTCTCTGGCTAGATTTGATTGAATAGTTTTTTCAGGAAGTAATGAGGATATTAAGTAAGACCTTCTTATAAAAAATTATTTGCTTTCTTGTCTCAGAAACAAATTTCTCTTTTTTTTGATTGACACATAAAAATGTATGAAAATTCTGTATGATAAAGAAAATTGTCTAGTTTCATATGTGCGAGAGGGTGCATTGTCAATAGTTGCAGTATAGCAAACACATGCAGTTGAAGTCAAATTTTCGGGATACCTCGACTAGTTGGGCGGGGCTGGCTTCGGTAAAAGTCGGATCGATGTTGGGACGCTCGTTGCCAGGGGTTACCGTTAACGGCATCCCCGGTCCTGATCCAACTAACCCTACGAGAAATGTCCCTCTGACACGACCCCGTGTCCCTCATCATGTCGTAATGTATGAACGTCGACGATGATGTTATCCCGCGAGGTATCAACAAAAAATTCTCAAATCCCGATACATAAAGAATACACATTGGATGCGTATCAAATGTCGAGCATCTTTCAATTCAATACTTTAAACTACAGTCAATGTTTCAACGACCTGTGGCTCTTTTTCAGGAAGTCTTTTCTTCCTTAAAGAATGAAATTCCTTCAGCCTTCTTATCCTCTTCATTAGAGAATAAACTTTTTCTATCTTTTTTTTATGTAAAATCCCATTCTCTAAATTTAGTAATTTTTACAATTGGTAAAAATGTTTACTAATTGAAATTAGTGATGTGACTTTTTGCTTTTGAATTGGTAAAGTTTACTGATAAATATTGTCAATGTTCAGGTCAAATTTGACCTACTTTTTGACCTGTAGATGAAAGGTCATTCAACTTACTGGAACCCCTAGGGCCGTTACGTTACGTTAAAGTTTAATTTAAAGTTGACCTACTTTTTAAGCTGTAGGTAAAAGGTCACTCAATGTCATTCAAGCTACCGGATCCCCTAGGGTCCATTACATAACATCAAAGTTTAGGTCAAATTTGACATATTTCTGACCTACATGTCAAAGGTGAAACTGCAAGAAAGAAACTGTTACGTTACGTTAAATTTTATGTCTAATATGACCTATTTCTTTACCTATATGTTAAGGGCCATTCAAGATGATTTCACCTTTTAGTTAAAGAGTCATCCAAGATAACGGGACCCAACGTTTACGTAACGCCAAAGTTAAGGTCAAATATGTACCTATTCTTAACGTACATTTCAGGGTCACTCAAGGTCTCAAAACCCCTTGGAGTTTTTTCGTAACGTTAACATTTTAGCAAAAAGTTCGAATTTAATTTTGAAAAATTAAGGTTTCCGCTACGTTACGTTAGATTTTAGGTCCAATTAGACCTACTTTTTGAACTATAGGTCAAGTTGTTGAATGTTAACGGACCCTCTATGGAACGTTTTTTTATGTCGAAATTGACCTATATTTTACCTATAGGTCAAGTTTTTCAAGAATTGAACACAACCTTGTATCATCTGTTTGCGATGATTCATCAGAAATATACAAATCTCTTACTTCTTCGTGTAACATGGACAAATATTAATGTATGAAGACTAATGGGGCAGAACTTTAATAGAGTTTTTTACACCAACCAAAAAGAGTCAACATCTAATACACTTTCTGTATAATTCACTTTTTGGGAGTAATTAGTTTTTATGAATTGTTATGCTTGACAATATAAAAAAAGAAATCACGTTTGACAAATAATTTAGATTATCGCTACCGATATCCCTATATTTTCGTAAAGTATAGGGTTCAAGTTTTAATTTAACCTCTATCGCAAGTCAGAATTATGACGGATTTACACGATAGAATTAAATAATAGAAATCTGACATGTACATGATTTTTTGGAGTTATACCCCTAAAAGTTTTCGTTGTCAGATTTGAATTCACATACAGACTGTAATTAAAAAAATTATGTAGGAAGCTTTTTTAAATAACATTAACATCTAAAGGTGACCCAAATTTTCTAGAACGTTTTCTTTGTCCATGATGTTATTTAAAAAATTACATAGAAAATCAATCCAGGATGGTGGTATATTTCTTATAAAAAATTTCTTTCACATTATCAACATCCGGTGCCTTATTACTTTTATACTTTAACTAACGTTGAATTATTTCTTTTTTTTGTTTTTGAGCATCTAAATAGGGATCAGATATTGTTTTTTTTACTCATTTAGACATATACAGTAGGAAACAATATTAGTAAACCTAAATAATAAATTGAAAAAGAAATTTATGAAGTGGATATCGTAATTACGTTGTGAGAAACATTTGCCTCATGCGGAAAGGAAGAAACGGATTAAATTAAGCAAAATGATCCTATTGGGTAAAGTAGTTTTTTGTTTCTGTTAGTAGAAATAATATAGTTGTGGCAAATGAAAGTAAAATCCCAAGTAAAAATCTGAGTAGAAAGTCTAGTAGTTTAAAAAATTTCAAAAAGATAAAATATACTATTTTTTTCATATTTTTCGAACCATCAGACTTTCTATAGACTGAAATCTGCTGAAAGTTTGCAACATGTTTAGAGACTTTCATTAGAATGTTTTACTTGGGACCGGTCGTTAAGACCGACTTAGTGAAGTAACCTTAATTTCAGGTCCTCCTGTGGAGGTGGGCGTCACCATGTACGTCTTGAGTATCAGCTCGCTATCCGAAGTGCAAATGGTATTATTTAGGTCTTATGCAGTCATCCCCTCTTATTCAAATTTTTAATCAATATTTAATACAATATTTAACATTTAATCATTCTGATCGTCAAACTCATTAATAAACCTTTATACCTTATGGCAAACATTTTAGCAACTCTTAACAATATTGCCCTGTTATTTATATAAATACACCAACACCAATATTAGATATCACTGAAACATCCTAGAAAACCCGAGGCGAAGTTTTGATTCTCTTAAATTGTCGAGAATGTTAGAAGTTTAGAAATTTCTGCATTTAGTGTCATTTTTAGACTTCTCTTGTATAATAGCTACTACATTTGTTCTAAATTTATTAAAATTTGTAATTATTTAAGTTTGTAAATTCATTTACAAAAAATAAATTTGATAAATTGCTACAGTTACGTAATTTCAGTTTTTTGCAAGATGTTTTAATTTAATATGAATAGGCATACATAAAAGATAAATATTGGATTTATTTCACTTTAATATCCGTACAGCACAAAGAATCACACAAGACTTACTGTTAAATCTATAATTGCAATTGTTAATATAATATCATAATAATTGCCGATTTCCAAACTAATTTGATTAGAAGATTTAAAATTTCGACTCGGGAAGAGTTGTTGAATTGATTCATTTACATAATTACAGAACAAATTTACTATACAAATATGTTAAGATTTAATGTGAAATGAATTAATTGTTTCATATGGAATATCGCACGATTTAAATACAACTCAATCTAGGAAACAGAACTTTCGTACTAACCGCAATGGAACATAACTGTATAATTTAATAGAAAATGTCATTCACCTAAAAATTAGTAACTTAATTTTAACCAATAAAATTAATGCTGTAAATTACTATATCAATAGAAAATGAATATTTTATTACATGATTCAGTCGGCTACATTCGAAATTATTGGACTTCTGAGTTAAATGAATAATCTTAGTGGGCGCATTTGCTCAAAAGACGTACTTATGATGTCTTTTTGCAGATTTCCTCTGGACTTAAAAAACAGATTTTTTGTCGCTATATAATATGCACGTCTTATGGACGTCACTAAAAGCTCTTGCGGACGTTCTAAAAATATTCTTTGTCAAGATAATTTCACATACATTTAAGGTCATATTCAAGTTATGAATAGTATGGAAACAAACCATATATACCGCAACTTCTTGGCACGGACCACTTCCATATGAATTAATCAATTAACTTATTAGTGTATTTGAAATAAGCAAATATAATTATCAAAATTGTAAATTAAATTTAACACTGAATTATAAATTTATTTTGTTGGAATTTTTTAGTAGGTAACATTAAGATTCTATTAGAAAATGTATAATTAATAATAATTTAAATGCAAGTGACGTCACGTTTTTACTCCCTAAAGCATGAATAATAAAAAACATTTAAATCAGAAATAAGTTCTCTATGTGTGTTTATATAAAGATACTGTATTTAAACAATTAACTGACATAAGAACTTTTATTGTAAAATTATATATAAGGATTTTATAAAACAATACTGAAAACAACATAAAATAATGATCCGAATGCGAGTTACTCCGATCTTTTTGATACTTCGTATTATGTAACGAGACTGATGGCGCCCTTTAGCGCTTGGATCTGTAATCTATTCCTTAAAGTACAAAACCGTTTCTTTGACAAAGGTTTTGTGAAAATACCTCCTAACTGATCCTCAGATGGAACATAAAAATTCTAATTTCATTACTATTTAACACATCTCTCACATGATATCTAACATCAATGTGTTTCGATCGTTTATGTAAATTTGAATTTTTTGCTAATTTAATGGCTGATTGATTGTCAACATACATAGAAACAACATCACAGTTGATTTTTAATTCACTAAGTAAACGTTTCAACCAAACAGTTTCATTTGTGCCCTGAGCCAAGGCAATACACTCTGCTTCGCAGTTCCCAAAGAGACTACGTTTTGACATTGATTTTCTGGTGGCAATTCTGGTAAACTCCAAGTTTAATTTTTATTTAAGGCTTGCATTTCATATTTTACAGCAACTTCCCATTTTTCAAAATCCAGACATTGCTTTTTCAAAGTTATAGGTATATTGTCAACTATGTACGCTACTGGAACTCCATAGTAATCAGGACCCTTGAGTTGATTCCTATCACGCAACACTCTGGCCGGTGGTCCATCGATAGGAACTTCCTCTTGCGGTTGTACAAGTGCAATAACTGCTTCATCAGGAACCACTTCTTGAACAGAAATCACAGCTTCATCATTGTCATTTTCGAAAAGTATTTCCGGACAGAAAAAATATTCTAGTTTATTTACTAAATTAACTCTCTCAGCCTGATTGAAATCAACATTACTACTGATATAGACTTTGCTTGTTGATTTGTCCCACAGTCTGTAGTCTGACGATTCACCATCATAGCCAAAGATGATAATCTTTTTACTTTTTGCATCAAACTTCTTCCGATGTTCTTTTGGGAGATGTCTATGACGTACACCACACGACAGATTTTGGGAAATCTGCATACAGATACCTAGCTTCGTAAAGCCTGAACTCAGCGTAATCAGCATTTAAAATGACATAGGTATTCGAAGTATCAAAAAGATTTAAAGTAACTTACCCTAACAGCATCAGGATGTACTACGAACCTCCAAAGCGTATCCATAAGTTATAATTATATCCATTAGATATCCGTTGCTGGTAGGGCGCTTTTAGAAGTAAATCATTTTATCTCTTTTGAAACCGAGTGGTTTAAATTTTCAAAAGTAAAAATAAAATTTTTTTACTGTTGCTGTCTGTTTAACAGATATACTTCCTACTGAAATAAAAAATTTTTCAAATGCTGTAATAATTGTTTTGTTCCAAAGTCGAGTTGTACGAAAGGTCAAAATTTTCCGCAAAATTCGTGTGAAGAAAATAGAAAATACATATAGAGGCAAATATATTTATTGCACACGCATACACATACATAGACAAAAATGTATAAGTGTGGGAGTACCATCATACTGATAGAAAAATCAATGTCAATTTTTATGTACACTGTCGATTCCACTTCAGATGTAAATTTAAATTCTAAATTTGTTCAAAATCTATATATTTTAAGTCTTTACTGAAAAAAGGTTACACATTTTTTTTGCCTAGAATTACATTAATATTACATTTATATAATTTCATATGGAACTTTAAAAGAGTATTAAACTTAAAGTACATTATTGTGTTACTTTCATGTTGTTATAATTTTACAAATGTAAAAAAACCAATTCAAAACCTTTGAAATAAGCTCCGGTAGTTCTCTTTGGAAGTCTAGCTCGGCGCTATGTGACCGGTTCTAATTCCATTAAAACAACGTACGCTTTTTTGTTTTTCACCTATCGTTGGCTGACTCTTCGCAACACTTTCTAAAGCTGTAGTCTTCCGTGGATTTCTCAAAATGCTTTCTTGGTTACGTTTTAATAAAACTTTTTTAAAAGCGGTCAAGAGATCCTGCGAATCCACAAATCGATAAATTCTTGCCTAATTTCTAAATGATACATCCGGCATATCGTCTATTAAATAATCCACTAGTTCTTCTTGTTCAACAGTGATTGCATTAGATAATATGAGTTTTTTGTGGAAATAATCAGTAAAAGATTAGAAAGTTTTCCACGATCTGCTTTCAAATTTTCTTCGTAATGTTAGTCTATCTTTGCGTTTATTAAACATGTTTCCAATCTCGATTAAAAGGTCGTTCACTGACAGTCCAATATATCTTGAAATCAAGTGAATTCAAGTTCTCTTTTAATTTAAATCTTGCTCTCTAGGCAACGATTCGATTTCCCTATCTCGGCTCTGTATTTCTGAAAAACGGCTTGGCGTTGGATCTGGATCGGAATTCTGATCATCGTCTGTGTCCCTGGTATTAGTCCCATCAGTGGTCTGATAGTTCATTGGCACGACGGAGACAATCCCCACCCAAGCATCTGAAGGATCCGCGCCTCCAGTAATGGCTTTATGATTTCTACCATACTCCCACTCGTAGATATCCCCATTTTACTCCTTCAAGGCAGTCAACGTAAACTTATTGGGATCCATGGCACACAATTAAATGAAATCACGTGACACTCAAAATTGTCACTAGGGGCTACTACAGTTGCGTAAAATTTGGTGATTGAAGCTATGCACCGTGTTCTTCTATAAAATTGATTAAACTGAATACATGATGCCACTAAAATCCGCGATTAGCTAAATTTCTAACTCAAACCACAAAATCCGTTTTAATTTTTAAAGTTTTTGGTTTAAATATGGCAGGTAATATGCAGTAATGATGAGCCATGGATTGAAGAGAATTCAGTTTTGCAGTATATTGAACCGATTTCTTTGTTGACATTAGGACGTAAACAAATGATAAAGCAATTTTCTTAAAACAAATGTCCTCATCAGCATCAATAACAATCTGTTTTACTAATCTCGCGAGTCTCTTCTATCGCTTCGTCGTCTACTTCTGAGTGGATAGCGCTATGTGCGGTTTTTCCGCTACTGCAGCTTGACACACTCAGAAGGCTCGACACGCTTCCTTTTCTCATTCTTTCTCCTTCCACGATGTTTTCTGGATCTAATCTTTCCACGATTATCCGTGGCACTGCAAGAAATTGTGCGCCCCCACAATCCGCGCGCACGGAGCATCAGTCCTGGGACTGATGATGAGATTTCCCGTTTCCAGCCTGCTCACATGGGGTACCTTCTTTGAGTTTTGTAAATCCATTCTTTCTTGCTGTTTGGTTGTACTTGAGTGAAAAGACCCGCCACCACAGCAAGGTCTACTGAACATATCCATAATGCCAGTCGTGTCTGACTGCGGGCCCACTTCTCTAGCACATCAAAGACATCAATGATGTTTGGCAGTGGACCCGCTTCTCCCAGCACATCAAAGACATCAGTGATGTTCGGCAGTGGACAACCAGCGGCGGAGTACTTAAAAGTATTGGATGCTACTTTGAATGCTCCATCCGAAAAT